AACTACACAACCCCTCTGCTGCAAATATTACATTCCCAGTTGTGCAGCTGAGTCTAACCATGTATAGATTATACTGTATGTGGGAAGCATCTTCTGTTCAAAAATGTAGGGATTGGGAATTTCTCCCTTGGCTCCTAACACATGCAGGGTAGGTAGGTACAGTGGGGTCTTGACTTAAGACCGGCTTGAGTTAAGAACATTTTGACTTAAGAACCACTCTCATAGGAAAATATTGACTTGACTTACATACTTAGATTTGAGTTAAGAACTGAAAAAAAACCACGTCGGAGGCAGGGAAAGTGCAAAATGTGAACTTTCAGTTAACTGTTGGCCAGTGAAAAGGGTGCCTGTCTGCTGCCTCACTCCTCCCAGCGTTTAGAGAGTGGATTGGGAGACAGTCTTCAGACTGCCTGGTACTGTACTGCCTGGACTGTATTTTCCCTGCCTTCCCTGAACCTTTCTTGACCTAAGAAAAAAAGAAAGAAAATATCCCCCTCTAGTGGTCGAAGGTGGAATAGCAGCTTCCCATTAGTTTCTATGGACGGAAAAGAGCAGATACGGATCAAATGGCTTTCAATGCATTCCTATTGGAAATGCAGATTTGACCTGAGAACTTTTTGACTTGAGAACCGCCTTCCAATACGGATTAAGTTCTCAAGTCAAGACCCCACTGTACTGTAAAACATGGATGTGTAGCAGTGGGTCCCCAGATGTTTCTCAACTGCAGCTTCTATCATCCTTCACCATTGGTCACACTGCCTAAGGATGATCGGAGTTGTACATGAAAAATATTCAGCAGTTTACAATCATTCACTCATGTTCTAAAACAGTTCTTCCCAATCTTGAGTCCCCAGATGTTCTTGGACTACAACTTCCAGAAATCCTGGCCAGCATATCTAGTGATAAGGGCTCCTGGGAGTTTTAGTTCAAGAGCACCTGGGTTACTCAAGGTTGGGAACTGCTGCTCTAAAACATTAGCAAAGGGTTACTATTTCCCATACAAGCAGACGTGGTCAGCTTCAGCAGCAGAATGTACCAAGTGCCTTCAGACCATTCTGTAACATTATATATATAGCTCCCTTGTTTCATGATAAAGACACAACCTAGCAGGCCAAGAACTTCAGCTATGGATCCACCCCTACTCCTATTACTAACGCAAGCTTCTTCCACTTCTGGCAATTCTATAGGTGAAACCATTAGAGAAGCTAGTAGCCAGACAATAACTTGGCCATGTATTGCAGAGCTGTTATCACCATATTGCTCCAAGCAGTGCAGAGCAGCATAACAATTATGCTGTGTAGTATTGGTGTTTTGCCATTCACATGGCCAGAGCAGGGTGCCCAGAAAGCTGAGGCAAGGTGATTTACAGAAACAACCAGTCTGTGGAAAAGGCAAGGGGGGCAACAAGGAAAAAAATAACAATACTGAACTCCCAACTGAATAAAACAGCCAAATGCCATTCCTTCTAGGGCTATATACAGTAATTAAAAATGGGAAATCCTGGCTGAAATCCTGTTGCTTAGTCCTAAGTCCTAAGTAGAGTAGGACCATTGAATCAATGGAAATGACTGAAAAGTTGATTCACCAAATCCTCCCAGATTCAATTAGCCTACTCCAGTTGCAACTTTCTCTTCAAAACAGCAGAATTTCAGCCACAGTGTATTAAGTAATGCACTATACAGTATCATGGTGTGGCCCTGGAATTTTGTTCTCCCAGAACCTGGACATAACTATATAAAAAATTGTAGTTACTTATTTATGTCTTCTCCCAATTAAGATAATTGCCCCAATTCCTGTTTAAAATATCAAGTGTGCAATGATAAACAGCAGCTGCCCCGTAGCACCTTATCCTTTGCACAACAAACTGTGTGCTTGCTCACATGAAGGACAGCCTGCAGGAGGGAAGTGCTTGCATGACTGCCATTCTGCAATTGCATTAAGTGTAAACTTTTAGTTACTTTATACTGTAGTTTCAGAGATGTGGTCTGACAAGGAATATGACTCAATTCCAGCTCTGGTCTCACACTGCTATCTTACGATAAGTTCTGGGTGCTGACAGGAAGACAGTGTGTTTGTACCATAGGCCAGAAGCTTGTAGTATTCGCATGTTAGTCTAAAAGTAACGTTACAGTAACTATTTCAGTTTTTTTAAGAATCAGGAAAGTGGAGAGTTGCATTAAAAACCATAAGCATGATGGCAAGTAAGAAAGAAAGAAAGAAAGAAAGAAAGAAAGAAAGAAAGAAAGAAAGAAAGAAAGAAAGAAAGAAAGAAAGAAAGAAAGTATATTTGGAAATATAATTACAGTTAACAATTTTTTTTGCAAAGTACTGTAACTTTCAAAATATTCGCGAAGGCTTTCATGGCCGGGATCTAATGGTTGTTGTGGGTTTTTCAGGCTCTTTGGCCGTGTTCTGAAGGCTGATCTTCCTGATGTTTTGCCAGTCTCTGTGGCCATCATCTTCAGAGGACTGGAGTAGGAACTCTGTCCATGGACAGAGTTCCTACTCCAGTCCTCTGAAGATGATGGCCACAGAGACTGGCAAAACATCAGGAAGACAAAGCTCTGGTTCCTACTCTCACTTCTAGATCTTAATTGCTTCTGCTTATACGAAGTACAAGTACGTACACTAGGGGTGGGAGGTTAATCCCTTATTCTGCTTATAAAGAATGGATATAATCCTGTACTTTATTTTGCTCTGCAGGGTTCCACTGTGCCTTATGTATGTTTTTCATTTCAAAGAACCAGCCGAGTAGCACTGTGTAAATTGCCTAACTACTTTTTATGTATACCCCCTCCCATGGAGTGTATCTGGATTGGTGATCTCCCTTCAAAGTATTAATCAAACACAGAACAGCTTAACTTTAGTAAGCCGACTACAGTGCATACTTCCATCTGAGGCTTTCTGTTGATTGACACAAACATTTAACTTCTCAGGTTTAACACTACACAGTGTAGCCACCCATGATTCTTAAAAAGCACAACTAGAAGTCAAATTTAATTCTGAAATTTCAGCATTCAGAGTAACCCCTGTAATTGCACATTATTGATTGTGAACAACAAAACAGGCAGAATCTAAAGACACCCTTCTGCAGAACAAATATTTCTTCAGATTTATCTTCACATTGGAGGAGGGCTAACCTATCTGCAAAAAGGAGGAATCAGGGAACTAAAGACCAGTCAGCCTGATATCAATCCCAGGGAAAATTCTGGAGCAGATTATAAAGCAGTCACTTTGAGGGGACCTTGAAAACAATGCAGTAATAGCTAGAAGCCATCATGGATTTGTCAAGACTAAATTAGACTACTATTATCTCATTTTTTGATCAGGTAACCTTCCTGATAGATGGCGGGAATGCTATAGATGTAATACATCTTGACCTCAGCAAAACCTCTGACAAACTCCCCCATGCTATTCTGATTTGCAAAGAAACTAAGTGTGGGCTGTCAGGTGGATACACAGTTGGTTACAGAATTATATTCAGAAAGTGCTTATCTATGGCTCCTCAAACTGGGAGGAGGTGACAAATAGAGTACAACTGAGCCCGGTGCTCTTCAACATTTTTATTAATTACTTGGACAAGGGGGTGGAGGGAATACTTATCAAATTTGCACATGACACAAAATTCGGTGGAATAGCTAATACCTTGGAAGACAGGAACAAAATTCAAAAATATCTTGATAGGCTTGAGCACTGGGCTAAAAACAACAGAATTAAATTTAACAGGTGTAAGTGCACAGTTCTATACCTGGGGGAAAAACCAAAGGCAGTTATAAGATGGGGGATAATTGGTTCAATAATACTACAAGTGAGAAGGATATTGGAATTGTGGTAGATCACAAGCTAAATATGAGCCCAACAATGCAATTTTAGACTGCATTAATAGAAATATAACTCCCCAAATCCCATGAGAAACTAGTCCCCCTCTATTCTGCTGTTGTTAGGCCACATCTGGAGTACTAAGTCCACTTCTGGAGACTGCACTTATCTCTGTTAAATTGGCCCCTTCAAATTCAATTATTCTATGATTCAGAAACCTGCCACACCTCTTCAAAGTTATTTTCTGTATTAAATATCATTCTGAGAGGACAACTTGTTTGATACTGAATAGAAGCTTTCTCTTTTAAAATAAAGGCATAGTAAAATCGTCACACTTTAACTATAGAGTTCCTACAGCAAATCGAACCCCCACAAGCCATCAAAGTACCCAGGACCTAGAAACAGCCACCTTACCCTGGTAGCAAAACCATAACAGACAAAGTAACAATTTTCTGTCGTTTCATATTATCAAAAGTCCGATGTCTGCTTCATAATGGCAAACCTCTCTGACATTTTGTTCGTCTCTAGGCTTTAAAACTTCGGATCTTCTATTTAGCCTATTTTACGTCTTGCATACAATTGCAGTTCTTGTTACAGTATTTTAAAAATGATAGTTGGATTTAATCAACATGCATTTTATCGTGAATTACCAAGAAATCGTTTGACCGAAAGCCAGCACTGTACGCAAATAAATAAAACACAGCAATAAATAAACAGAAAAGAAGGAACCGGAAAGGCGAGTAACTCGAGACCACTTTTCTCCCGGCATCTCCCTCGCTAGCTGCAAAATTGGTTTGACCCATCCCGACAGACAGCGGCGCACAGACAAGAAGGCGGGGATTTAGGTGTTTTTTTTAAGGCTTAAAACGGCAATGCCAGACTGGATTAGGAGGGCCCGTCTACAGTACTCAGAAATAAACTCGCTGAAACAAGTGGGGCGTATTCGCGTGTTAAGAGAGGAAAGAACTGCGGCCGCAGCCCGGACACGTGTATCTCCTCCCTGAAAGACGCCAAAAACACAACCAGCTGTTAATCTTTCTCACAGAGAGATGATACCAGATAAAGTCAGAAAGGTTCGACTCGAGAACTTTAAGAGTATGAAAAGCCCAGTGGTTTGTTCTTCCTTGGAAAAACCCACCGAGGAACACCACGGAGTATTTGCATGTTTGGTTCTTACTTCCTTGGTATTCTTTGCCTTCGCATATAAACCTCTCAATAGGACTCCGCTGATGCCGAATGTATGCACCGTTTAGCGACCAAGTCTTCCCCCAGGGCTGAGCAGAGTGTGGCCCGGTATACGCTGCGGGACTACAACTCCCATCATTACTCACCTTTGGCTGCCTGAGTAGGGCTGATGGAAGTTGCAGTCCAACAGCATCTAGCGCTCCACAAAGGGCACTCGCTTCCAAAAACTGGGGTCGCTCGACCGCGCACTCCTCTGGAATTCAGCCCTACTGACGTCACTAGGCTTACTGGAGAGTAAATATGCAAAACCGAGACCCCGTACTCTGAATCACTACTAGGCGGTCATTCGCCCTTTTAAGGAGCGAGCGAGCAATTTGCGCGCCATTTCGAGTTTTGGAGGCGGGAAACAATCCTGATCTTCCGCTGGAGAAGAAAGTTTCTTTCCGTGATCCAAACTTAAGGGCAGGAACCATGGCGAAGGAGCGCCGCGTGGAGTCGGTAAACATATAACGGGGATGGGAGTTGGGGGGGCGGCGGGAAATCAGGAATTAACTATGTATGCTTGCTTCGAAGTAAATGCCGTTGATTTCAGCAGGACAGATTTCTACGTAACATGCATATAATCGCGTTCCGGGGTTAGATTCTAAAGCGCATTTATTAGCCGATGGGTGCCACTAAATTTTGTAGAGCTTCCTAATAAACATGCTTAGGGCCGTTTTTATTTCTTTGGAATGAATAAAGCTTATTACTGCTTTTGTAAGGCGGAGGTTTTGTTTTTGCTCCGAGTGAAGAAAATGTTCAGGCTGGAGCGTAGCCGTGTTAGTCTGCGCAAGCGTATCAGGCAAAATCCAAAGAAACAGAATTTTTTTAAAAAAAGATGAAAAAAGCATGTGGAACCTTAAAGATTAGCTATTATATTTGTATGTAAGCTTTCGCGGGCACGTCCGCTTCAGGTTGGAGAGGAGGCTGAGACTGAACGGGAAGATTGACAGCAGCCCGATCATCCTTTCTCAGAAGAAAGTGCCACTGGTTTCAGTAGGAGATTGTTCGTAGGTCGGTTCAAGAGGGGCGATTTGAACAGCTCGCCCTAGGCACGGCGAAAAAAAGATTGTGTCGACGCACAGGCCGAAAACGGTTACTGTACAAGGCGACATGAGTGTAGCAGCTCGTTCCTCATTCCTCGTTTGCCCAGTTTGGAAGGGAGCTGGACCTCTCTCTGGTCAGGGCGAGGAAGGCTCGGCGCACAGAAGGAAGAAGCGCCTGTTGTGTGTGTGATTCATTGCATGGGCCCGGGTTCGCTGGTTGGGATGCTCAGAATCCCATTGAAATCAAGAGGAGATTGCCGGTGTCAATGGGACGCTTCTCAACCCTTGCGGGGGCGGGCGCTCCTTCCTTGGCGTAAGCTCCCTCGGGCCCTGATTGGCTGCTGCTCCAATTACCCACGGCTGGAGACAGACCATTTACTACCCGTAAGATTTGAAACGCCAGCCCATCTTTCTCTCCTTTTACCACCCCCTTCCCTGCTATCACTTGGTGGTGGGTTTTCTCTCTCTGTTGCAAGTTAGGGAAAGGCTTCTTTTTAAAAAAAGGGGGGGGGAGGAGATACCGGGATCGAGCACTGTCCTATTCTGCCTGGTTCATATTCAAGATCTCAAGGTGATTCAAGGTAAGAACGTTACATTTTATGCTCTTTTTACGAAACCTCGTTCTTGATAGTTGTGCTATTGGGGTTCTGCCAAGCGTTGTCACTGATTGCCGTGGCCCGGAAGACACTCTGCTAGATAGGTAGAACCGGACCGATGTAATCATCTTGTCTGTCTGCTTACAAATGTGTAGTTACTAATCAGGCATGGTTAGTTTAGTGCAGCTCTTGTGTTCTGCTGTTGCAAGGAGTCAGTACGTTCCAACATTTTTTTAGTATTCTTTTCAGTGTATTCCGAGGTATACTGTTCTCCCTCCCCATCCAGATGTCCTATTTTCTAGATACTGCTTGGAAATTTCTAGATATTTCCAAAACACAAAAGTTTTTCAATTCGATACCTGGGGAACAACAATCCCACAATTGTGGAGGGGATTTGTGCTTTTGTAAGCACCCAAGTGCGGTACTTTACATTTTAGGAAAATGCAATGAACTTGCAGAGGATGGCACATTCATTCTGATCAAAAGTGCTGTGTGAAATGTGGTTTCCTGAATACTGTGGGTATCTAGTTCAACTGGTTAGTTAACTTTTTCATGTCATGTTGTTGTTTAGTCGTTTAGTCGTTTCCGACTCTTCGTGTCCCCATAGACCAGAGCACACCAGGCCCTCTTGTTTTCCACTGCCTCCCGGAGTTGGGTCAAATTTATGTTGGTAGCTTCGGCGACACTGTCCAACCATCTCGTCCTCTGTCATACTCCTCTTGCCTTCACCCTTTCCCAACATCAAGGTCTTTTCCAGGGCGTCTTCTCATGAGATGGCCAAAGTATTGGAGCCTGAGCTTCAGGATCTGTCCTTCCAGTGAGCACTCAGGATTGATTTCCTTCAGAACGGATAGGTTTGTTCTCCTTGCAGTCCAGGGGACTCTCAAGAGCACCACAATTCAAAAGCATCAATTCTTCGGCGGTCAGCCTTCTTTATGGTCCAGCTCTCACTCCCATACATTGCTACTAGAAAAACCATAGCTTTGACTATGCGGACCTTTGTCGGCAAGGTGAC